AGAGAGAGAGAGAGAGAGAGAGAGAGAGAGAGAGAGAGAGAGAGAGAGAGAGAGAGAGAGAGAGAGAGAGAGAGAGAGAGAGAGAATCGTCCTCCTGCTCCACCTGCATTCATCGACTTCACCAACATGGGAAAGGTAAGTAAGAACGGCTATTCGCAAGTCATGGTGATTGTTGACCGCTTCTCTAAATTTCTGAATCTGATTCCTTTGCCATCTCACGCCCCGACTGAATTGGTGATCTGTGAGTTCGAACAGAAGTACATTCTGCAGTTGGGAACCTCGAAAACTCTTGTGAGTGATCGGGACCTTACTATCTGATGAATGTGTATCTCGAAATTGGCCAGGATCATAACAGGGATGGAAATGAGGACGTTGTTTAGTTTTTCGAGTAGTCTGTGACTCCCCTTCATGTCAGCTTGGATTGTATTCATTATTTGCTGGGAATCTGGTCCACTGTCCATTACAAAGTAACCCACTCAACGCTTCTCTTCATTATGGTTGAGGGACCCCCTGAGACGGAGGCATTCATCGTTAAACATTCCTGAAGCAGAAGGATTGCCCCTGCTGCACCCCAGTTCTTCCTACTCAGAAAACTACTCCTGTAAGAAAAAGTCAGGCCTGGTTCGCTCTTTTTTTTTCTTTTTCTTTTTTCTTTTTATTTTTAAACAGAACCTTTGGGTTCTGGCTCCTTTTCCATCCTGGGGAGCGTCAGTCCGGTTCCTATTCCCCTGGCAAGTGATTCACCCTTTTGTAGCCTGCTGCAAAAGGACTGAATTTTTTGAAGTCCGTAGTTGCTATGAGACTGTTCTGTTGCCCTGAGCTTCTCCCACTCTTGCTTGATTAGTGCTACCCCTGACCTCTGATTGTAACTTCCCCCCTACTTCCTCTGTTCTTGCTGGACTGGCTCGGAAACTTCGCATTTGGGTCTCTGTAGCAGAGGTCTTTCTTCCATCGTTATATGTTATCCATACGAAACCATATATCCTGCTCCTGATCTTTTCTTTTTTTTCTTTTTTTTAACAAGAAAAGGAAGTTGCGTTTTATATTATTATAATCTCGAGCCTGAGGCCGGGAATTCCTTAACATCTCAACCCGGAGTTGTCTGGGGCCCTTACCCAGCTTAGGCTTGTGCTGGAAACTGGGGCCAGTGTCCCCAAATCTGCAGTCTTCCAAAAAAGATCGAACTGGAGCAACGAAAAGGACGAACTGCAAATTCCCAGTAACGAAACGGAAAAAAACAACAATTCAAAATTCCGAAAAAAATGACGAGAATTCCAAAAAAAACCTATCCCCTATCTATATCTCTGTTTTCCTCGCCGAGTCCTATTCTGTCCTCCCTCTCCCTCCCCTCCCAGTTTCAGTCGGACTAGACAATCATGGCAGATTTTCAAGTATATAGCATAGATCTCTCAATTCTCTCAGTACTCTGCGCATTCCCCTGAGGAGCGGATTACTGGCGAGCTGGCAGAAGCACATGTCGGATGTTTCACCAGCGGATACCTTTGACTATGGTGGCATCCCTGCGGTGTCGGCTACTTTTGATCATCATCGTGTTGGCTCTTCATTGTCATAATTCAAGAGCCATGGCACTCAGGGTTACTATCTCACGTTCGTTTAATCTCCTCCTCCTTCTTCTGTGATGCATGTGTCCCAACGTTCGTCTCTGCCGTTCGTTCATGCTAAACTGCTTTCACTACTGAATAGTCAAAAAGAGGCCCGGGTCCTTATCATTGTGGCCCTGCCCTCGGTATCCCTCGACCTTAGGCCTTTGCCCAGGCTTTTCACAGACTTGGGGTGTGACTCTTGACCCTCGTTTCAGGCCTTTGACCCATAGGGGCGACTTGTGGCCCGCGGCTTTGCAGATTTGGGCTGAGTTATTGCACTTCTTCAAGTCTTTTTGTCTTTTTTGAAGTTTTTTCTTAAATAACAGGACGCTATGGTCCCAGCTTCTTTCTATTCCGGGGAGCGTCAATCTGGTTCGTTTGCCAATAGCTGGTCTCCTTAAAATCACCCCAAGTACTCTGCTTTCTCCTGGTTAGGAGAATTGTGGCCTCTCTCTTTCTTCTCTCCTGGTTAACACTTTCGTTTCTGGTTTTTCGGCTTGTGGGCTTATGACTATGGATCCTCTTCTCAGGGAGAGTGCAGTCTGGTCCCTCTGTCCAATGGAAGGTCATGTTTTACAGGTAGCATGAAACTTGATGACATTTACTCATGACGTTGTCTGCATCGACCCTGAGAGATTCTAAGAAATATCTCTTTTTTAAGTTTTTTAAACTTTTTTTCCTTTTTTTCGGTTTTTTTTTTTCTTTTTATTCCTACTTTCACTCTCGTTTTTTTTTGGGGGGGGGATACATTGCTTGTGATTATGACATATCCTTCTCTTGCATTGTATTACAGATTACAAGCATTTTTGTTTCCTCCTTCCATTGTGAATTTGTGACCAATAGCAAACCCCGATAAGGTTCAGTGGGCAGAAATAGTAGTCGTAAAATAGTGCAAAACATTAGTCAGGAAATGAGGCGCCCACGGCTACAGACATGCGGGGATTGGGGCCCTGATGGAATAGTGTCCCATACCTGGGTGAATGAGTCGTTGGAAGGAGGGGGAGTCTTCACTGAAAATTCGTTGACGTTTCATTGGGGGTTGATTGCAGGTGGAAAATAATTTGTGGTTGAGATCCTGGATCGTACTCAATTGTCCATGGAGGAGAGCATGGGGATTAAGAAATAATTGATTGAAAACATTTTTCTGGTTAAAAAAAGAAAAAGAAAAAAAAGAAAAAAGAAATGAGGCGGTTGCTGATTCTTTCAATATTCTGTATTGTTGGATGCGTGTGTGACCATTGCTGAAGCTTCTGTGGAGGGAGTTTTTCTACACCAATGGATATGGGAATGTTAACTTTGATCGCATGGTTGGCAACCCAATCTGCAAACAGGTATAGAATTTTGGATCGCATGACAATCACACACTCTCTCAAAGTCTTCTGCCCTCCTACATTCCTCTCCTCTCTCTCTCTCTCTCTCTCTCTCTCTCTCTCTCTCTCTCTCTCTCTCTCTCTCTCTCTCTCTCT